GCCGTTTCTTGCATTCACAGGACCATACATGCGTATGCACTATGCTACTGCTTTGTGCTTCAAACAGCGCGGTCTGGCACAACAGCCGCGCCGCACTCGTTTCCAACGTGAGTCGTGCATCGGCGGAGCCCTTCTTGACGCAGAGATTTTGTTGTGGGAAAGACCGCGGTTGCTGGATAAATACGTTATATATGACTTCTGTGTGAGTCCCAGCACAAACTCCTGGCGTCGCTCCTTTACACGTCTCTACGTCGTTGCAACGGTGCCGCTATCTTTTCTAGTGCAAAGGACTAGGCTATCTCATACCGTTTCGTCGACGAGAGAACATGGACCGATGACTATAGGAGGTTTACTGTGCAATGTGTGTTGTCCAGCCAGTCAATGTCACCTGCCTTAGGTGAATACTCACATTCTCTTCTGTCAGAACATCCTGTTCTAACCAATAGACTGATCCCAGTCACATGTCTCGTTGAATTCACGCACTCACAGATATTTTCCGCACGCCGTCGAAATCCATTCTAATACCACTTCCCAAAATCGACAGAACGTGACGGACGGTATGCTTGAGCCTCGCTGCGGCTCGATAGATCTATAGATCCGGGTGGCCTGGGCGAACGACTCTCCAGAGACAAACCATCTTAGATCCTCCATTCGCCGCCCATTCTTTCCGAAGACGTGTGAGCGCGCAGCTGGAGAAGGTCACGACGACCGTCTTGCTATAAGCACCTGTCTCCACGGTGCGGACTTGTTTCTCGGCGCGCCTCGAGCCCTGATATGTCGCCTTGATATCCCTGCTCGCGGTCGCAATCAAGCGCCTCGGCGGGTCTGGGTCTGTACTCCTGTCCACCCGCACCGAACGCGACCCGACAGCCTGGTCTCCTCCGCTCTGCCACGTCGCAAACGCCAGTAGACCATGCGTATTCCCAAATCATCAGATGGCGTACAGGCATGGGGGCTATAACAGAGATATCATCTACAAGGGAGATAAGGGGGTAGCCTTGGCTTGGCACCGTGGGTGCTATCAGAAGACAACGACATAAATTTCAGAAGCATACTTGCCGGGCGAGTTTTGATGGACATCTTCCTTCGTGTATGATTTCCCTTTTATGGCTGTCATGCTTTCTTCAGGGCTAGGGCTTGCGTTTCACCATCCCTGATGCTGCTTTCATGATGAGTTAATGACCGCGTGTTGGGGATGAAGCTGTCTTTGCGCGGCCGGAAGTCGCCTCCCCGCTCTACTTTCCCTCGTGGGTATTTGGAGCAGAACATCCCCTGGGAACGCTCTCCCGGAGAAGAACGTGCGTTGGACGTAAAGGTTACAAGTCGTCCGCACAAGAGGTTTGTTATTCATGCAGCCGATCTTGACATCCCGCCTCCAGCTACGCGCATGTCGTCTCCACGCTCAATATGCATGCTATATCTCACACCTTTGGCCATGTGGATGCGTCCTTCTTTACCCTGAACGAACGCGGCGACGGCTGCGGGTGAACACAGCCTTCTATAAACGCATCATTTTCCTCATCAAATTCGAAATAATCCGTTCGAAGCCGGGTCCGCGCGCGCACGTCCTGGTCGTCTCTCTTGCTCCCTTCTCCGCGAGCTCTCGTTGACGGTGGTGCCCAGCGAAGTCGGAAATACGCGCCGCTGCCATGTGATCCGCTCGGTCTTGTCGCGTATGGTATATCAATAACCACCTTCAAGGTGTGCTTCGATGGGATAAGCCATCGCGATCCGTTGACAGGAGATGAACTAGCGCGAAAGTCGGGGAAGCGGAGGTGACAATGGAAGATGAGTGTGCGGGATGGAATCTTCCAGAGAATATTCTGATGCCGCGGCATATGGGCCCGATGCACTCGTGATCGCGAACATGGACGTGGGCGCCCCATCACGCCCCCGGCACCGAGCAGCGACGAGGCAGGCCTGACGAATGATTTATGATTAATGACTTTGAATAGCTCTCCTCGGGCCACGCGTTTGAGGCCGAGCTCTTCCTTCGCTTGCTGCTTGCTACTCGTCCACATCCAATGCGAGGACACGCATTTCGAACCAGTAATGCCAACAAGGACCTAAACTGTCTGCACGCTGTCCGCCGGGGGGGGGGGGGGGGGGGGGG